TCTTTTGTCGCATACGATCGCTGATAAATTAGACCCTTTTAGAACACCGAAAAAAAAATCTAACATTGAAAGATCTAGCGATCTTGGTGACCAAGGAACCGACCCGTTTCTACATATCCATGAATTTGGAAATAGTTGGTTTGGTGCTCTCGTACTTGCATTTGGTTGTGCGGCGGGGCACCGTTGTGTTGAAATCAGCGGAAATTACGTCGTGTTTCCAAATCTAACCCATTCTACATATCTAGATATTTATTTGGTAGAAAATGAAGATAACGCTGGCCGGTCCAATTTTCGTCGTAAATAAAAGGTTAAAGAATTCGCGATCCAATAATTCCGCGCCAAACATTAAAACCAAGTTTTCTTTAAGGCAACAATGAACAGCAGTGTGACGGAAACTATGATTTTAAAAATAATGAATTAAAATTCAATTTGAGAGTACTCTAGGGCGAAGTTTTAGTTCGTTTTCGTTTTCCAAATACATTTTAGGTTTCAATATTAAATTAATAACCAAGAATCGCAAAAAATATTTCATCGTCTAATTCAGATTCCTCAAGAAGCATCGTAACAGCAGTATTTGGTTATTTATTTATTTAATTTTTGTAGATTCTAAGCAGTTTTCGAATAATTTAATAAAAATTTTGCGTTGTTCTTTGAAAAATAAGTTGTATCACGTCACGGCGCTAAAAACGCAGAATAAAAACATCCTATGCCGCCTAATTTACATTCGCAAAATTTTAACGAATTCATAGTAACGGTTTTTCCGACACAAAATATTTTAGTTTTTTAACTCCCACATTTTTTTCTCAGTTTTTTTGTAATAAAATCTAGCACAATTCTTGTGGGTTGTACACGGAAAAATAAGGTCTTTCGAATAATTTAATAAAAAAGGTTGTCTTTTGAAAAAAAGTTCAATGCCGTTACGGCGCTCCAATTCGTTGAGGCGTTATCTCGGAAAATTGTCAACGTAAGTACGTACATACATACAGACGGAAAAAATTACCAAGTTGGTACTGCGCAGACTGACAATGCGCACATCTAATGTTTATTACATGAGATATGTTTTCTTTTGCTAACAGCATCTATAATTGAAATTCTTAAAATATGCGATATGTTAGCCTTTAGTAGAAACATCTTAAAATTTTAAAAAATATCTATAAATAAGAAATTATCATTGTACAGTCTGTGCATGCGCATCGCGGACTTCTGATGTTTACGATATGCGAAATTAGTTAGCATTTCAAAAAATATCTTTATAAATAATAGAATTGGTATTGCGCAGGATATGTTTACATTTACTAGAAGTATCTGTGGTTAAAATTTCAACAAAATATATTAATACATAAGGAAGTTGATGTGGGGCAGCTCGCGCATGCGCACATAAATCATCAAGATTTTCCTTGGTTCAGGTGCCAAACAAATTCAGAAAGAACGAACTAAATAATAAATAATAAAACTGTAGGAGTACTGGAGTAGTTAAGGCCTCGCACGGACAGACTGACGGACACGCAGAGAAAGTGGCTGCAATAAGCACACCCAACTTCGTTGTAAAATGCTCTCAAAATAACAGCGGCCGAACTATAAAATTAACAAGTGTAAAATATATTCAAAAATAAAACATGGCGTAACGTAACGTGGCATATTCCAAAAATTCAAGAGTTCGGAGTTACTAGACCACATTGTGGAGCTTTTGCAACGATCCACCAACAAACGTCAAAATGTAACTAACAAACACCACCAAAAGACCAAAAAAGATTGGATTTCAAAAAATGAACAGACTAATTTGACATCTGTTGATTCAGCATATTAGGTAAAAAGATTAAAAGAGTATGTAGGTATAGCGAAACAACAGTTGCAGATCGTGAAAATGACAGTTTCTGATAAATTTTGGTCTGTAGAAATTTAAAACGTCACAACCGTCAATATTTGACGTCTACAAAAGAAGATCGATGCATTAAACCAATTGGTAAAAATGCCAAGGGGTTGCTGCGTATAAATCGACCATTTTGTCCTGTAGTATCCAAAAAACTAATGTAGGTATAAAAAAGTCTATATAATTGAATAAATAATAATATATAATAATTAAATGCAAGCCCATAAAACATTCTGTGCTACCAATCAAAACATCGTAAAACCTACAATAAACTGTGTGAAATAATGAAATGTACCTACTAAAAATGAATGCCGATATATGTTTGTAAAGTACGATAGACTAGGCTCTAATTCGTTAACTTCAAACGCACCGACGCCGCCGCTTCTTTTAAACATTTCATCTAATTTTAAGAATTTTGTCATAAGTGCAAGGTGCTTTGCAGCTTTGCAACTACGTATTACGTAAGTACTTACTACGATTCTCTAGATTACAGAGATTGTAATCAAACTTTCAAATTAAATGTCAGAATGCGCTCGTCATATTTGTGTTAACAGGTCGTTTGAGGTTTTATTTATTACAAAAAAAGAGCATCCTTCACAACAAAATCTAGGCTCTAAGACGTACTACCTGGGTAGAAGTGATGCTGTCCTATTTTACAAATTAGGCGTGAACGAGTGATTAATCTCCGTTTCCTCTCTTCCTTGTGACTCAACAGATGGGTCAACATTGCTTGACATTTTATACTTTTCCCTTGTTTTTATAAGTGTTTGATTTATTGTATGTGGGAGTCCAAAATTACTTCTTAAATATATAAAAAAAGTGACCACGTTATTTAGGGAGAAGAGAAAATGCAAAAAAACGCAATTACGATATGACTTAAAATTCTTATGTTTTGTGATTCATGATTCATTCAAATTGTACAAGTAGACTTGGCGTCATGCTGTCTGTTTTTTTGTCATTTTCTGTTGAACAACTTTAGTTTTTACACGAATAAACGTATGAATGACATTCACATTCATTTGACATATATTTATAGACTACTAAGTTTGGTAGGTATTAATTAGAAAAAGTGTAATAAACATAAACTACCTACATCTGCTCTCGTGTGAAGAATAATTCACAAAAGGGACTAAATGACACTACTGTCGGACAAATTTCCTGGAGAATGGAAAATTTGTTCGATAGGTATTCTCGCACGATTAGGTGCTTCATCCTGTTGAAACCAACAGACAAACAGACTAGTTTTATCTTTCATGGTACTCTAATGAAAGGTTTCAACCAAAGGAATTAATTTCTACCAACCATAGCCCTCCTCCTCGATCTCTTATCGTGATCGGGTATATTCCCTTATACCTCAAGAACACTGTATACACTGTGTCCAAGATAAGGATGTTTATCATGGGGATATCCCGAAACTAACCCTTCCTCATTGCCACTTTCTCGGCCACTTTTTGAGCTGTACAAGACACCGTTGAGAGATTTTAAATACAACGTTCCGTTTCGGAGAAATCATCAACTTTATGTTTAGCGCATTTTTTAAGAATTAAAAAAAACTGTGGTCTTGTTTGCGTTTTGTCCGTCCGCCAACCGGCCGGGCCCACTTCTGCCGTTTCGAACTACTAGGGGAATGGTCCTAGAGTCCTGGAATTTTTTGCAATCGGTAGCCTACACCTTGAAGGTGTGCCAGACGGCCATCAAATTGGAACTATTTCGCGATCGGGTATATTCCCTTATACCTCAAGAACGGATTGTCGGAAGAGGGTACTCACAAAGGGCGATTGAGACGTCTGCAAGAAATATATCCATTGATGTCAAAAAAATAAAAGCTATTTCGGTTAAAAAAAAATGCGCTTTACCTGCATAAGAGTTGTGGACAGTTTATACTTGTTTAACTCTACAGTCTACAAGATGGTGCTCACCGATTTTAAGTGCACCGTTTGGTCTTTGCGAAACCACCATCAACCTCATATTCTTATCCGGACCGGAAAAGTAGATACTGTATTGAGTAGTACTTTTATTGGGTATACAGAGATGTATGGCAGAATATTATTTACAAATCACTTATTCGTTTTATTAGATATGTCACTTAAACCATCAATGAATTATTTAGACATTTTGCCAACGCCTACTACATCAAAATGTTAAAAATTGTTTATTATTAATTGACGTCGAATTTTTTACATTTTTGTGTAGTAGGCGTTGACAAAAAGCTTCTAATGCCATACGTAATAAAGATTCATTTGTGCCATACATTAGATATTCTATTCGAGACGAGGAAATATGGACTGACAGACGGACAAAACTACTTTCGAAAAATTCCTCTTTAAAAGCGTTCTTAAACTGAATGAGAAAACTTTGAGGGAGATGAAGCCCTAAAGAGTACGTATTAAGAATAATGCTGATTCGTAATCTTTACATACCTCACACTAGTTACTTGCAAATATTAATCCGCCAAGCGTATTCAATGGAGCAGCCACAACATAGAGAGAGAAACACTCCAAAGTAATAGAGTGATATCCAATATCAAAAGACCTTACTCAGATAGGCAATAAGTCAAGTAAAAATTAATGGTGCATCGAGAAAAATAATTTGCACGTAACCACTGTGAAGGCAAAAAATACAACTGTACGCAAGACCAAATTAAAGAAGGGATCGAATTAGAAGTATCACGGAAAACATCTGCACGACCTCTGGCGACGAAACAAACAGCTATATAAATAAAACCTATATCACTCGGATGGCCTGTAGCAACGAAAGTAAAGAACTAAGATAATAACAAATCTACCATAAAAATAACTTACTTCTTAAATAATCGGGTTTCCAAAATTAGAAAAAAAAGCAACGTATCATATTTATTTTTGCTTTCCCCTTTCAACCGTTTTGTTACTTTGATACTACATATTCTACGATTATGGCACACTGGTAACTTATAAAAAAAATGGTATAAATCAGCAAAGTATATTCGTAAATGACTGACAACGTAACAACAACTTACTTAGTAGTAAGCTGTGGTAACAACATGAATCCACAAATCCACCTTAATATTTTCTAGCGGTAAAAGTTAAAATTCGACCAATCGGAGCTTAAGTCTTAAGCGAAAACAGTCTTTTTATTGCATATTTTGTTTTAGATTGTAACCATCAGGGAGCTACCAAACCCCGAAAAGAAAGAACGGCATTCACTAAAACTCAAATAAAAGAGTTGGAAGCGGAATTTATTAATTCAAACTATTTGACAAGATTACGACGATATGAAATAGCGGTTGCCCTAGATCTGTCCGAGAGACAAGTAAGTAACTGATATAGTGAAAGTGGTAGTAGACTTCTTAGTGCACTAACAATAATTTATTGTAGGTGAAAGTTTGGTTTCAAAATAGGAGAATGAAATGGAAGAGAACGAAGGGGGCAGCTATACGAACGAAACAATTGAAAAAACAGAAAACTGTCGAAAACTATTGATCATTTACAATAAAGTTGTGACCGAATTTTCTTGTACTATATACCATTTTAGTTTATATGCATTCATTATTGTTACATTTTCTAATAAATTTACTGGAAGTAGGTTTTATCTATGTATATGAAAAGTGATTCTTTCTCTATACTATTATTTAAAACTAAATCCAAGAGCAGCGTCGTTTACAAAAGATAATTCACAAATTTACTTTTTATATATTTTTTATATTGTTATATATAGGTATCTCTATATACAGGGTGACAATTTGAAAACTTACCACCCCCCATATCTTAGTAAATAAACGAGATATTTAAAAAAATCAAAATCCGTTTCGGTAATTCGGAGGGGGACTCACAATGACATAGTTGGCGACGCACCCCCTCACACCCCCTGCGCCCCAGCCACCCCAACTTTTAAATCTTAAATAGTGACCCCCCATGTGTGATACGTCGTTGGAAAGCTCTGAAAAAATACTTTCCAACCATACCAAATAGCATTACATTTAGGTTAGTAATTATCGTGCAAATCAAAAAATAAACATGGAAAATTGTATTTAACTTGAACTTCCAAAGCCGACTCGACAGCAACTCATTTTTGATCGCCAGTTATAATCTATTCTCAAACTCTTGTCGAACCTTTCCTATGTTGGTTTTGCAATATTTCGACATTCTTGATTTATTCTCTGTCTTAGTTCGTCTAATGTTCGCCGGTTGCGTTTTAAATACGACAGATTTCAAATGTATCATATTAGCTTATTTTTTGATTTGCACGATAATTACTAACCTAAATGTAATGCTATTTGGTATGGTTGGAAAGCATTTTTTCAGAGCTTTCCGACGACGTATCACACATGGGGGGGTCACTATTTAAGATTTAAAAGTTGGGGTGGCTGGGGCGCAGGGGGTTGGAGGGGGTGCGTCGCCAACTATGTCATTGTGATTCCCCCACCGAATTACCGAAACGGATTTTGATTTTTTTAAATATCTCGTTTATTTACTAAGATATGGGGGGTGGTAAGTTTTCAAATTGTCACCCTGTATAAAAATGGTCACGAAATAGCTTTAGAACGACTTTACCGATTTCATTCAACTTTTTTTTTTAATTTTCTAATACTTCATAGAAGGTTCTTACGGAAAGAGAACCTAAGGAAATTGTGCAGAAAATTGGAAAACTGCAGAAAACTTAACGACGATTTAAACTTCGCGCATTTGAGAGTTCGCGCCTTTGACAGTTGGCGCGCGGCAAATGATCATCGATGATCGGTCGGCATCTATCTATCCATGAAAAAATAATTAATTCATTTATTAGTACAAGTCCATTCGATTGGAACATTTATCCAGCTTTCACTTGCTTCAGTGAGTTTTTTGAGAAGTGTTTGTTCAAAAACTACACGGATCACAATTAGGTAGTTCACCACAATCACGCCCTCCTTAACTACAAACATATTGTAAACCAGGGCATTGTTTAAGAAATATGAATAAACAATCACCAGATTTTGAGGAAAGCTGCCTGCATTGAATATATACAGTGTAACGGAACGGGCGATCAAAAATGGGTTGCTGTCGAGTCGCCTTTGGAAGTTCAAGTTAAATTAATACGATTTCCCATATAAACAAAAGTTCCAAAAGTGACTCGACAGCAACTCATTTTTGATCGCACAGTACCTATAATCAATGCTGCCTGTAATAGCACGTAACCCCTTCCATGTAAACCGCGCATTTTGTGAAATAATTGTAGACTTGACAACGTTGTACATTTAGCACGTGTCCTACTCCTTTCAATTTTTATCATAACCTCAATAAGCTTGTTTGTGTAATTGCGTGTGTTTTTAAGGACTTATTAATATTTTGCAAATATGAATTCTAAAGTAAACGATACAAAACCTAAAAGTAAACAACCTAATTTACGAAAAAAAACATCTCCACGAATTACAAAAAATAAAAAGGTATCAAAAGTGAAAAATCTCCATTCAAAGTCCGCAAATAATGAATAATTTTATAGGGAAAACTTCCAAGAAAACAACATGGGTTTGTGTACCTAGGCCACATACCACACGGATTCTACGAAGAAGAAATGCGTTCCTATTTTGGCCAGTTTGGAAAGGTAATAAATGTACGGCTGTACCGTTCACCTCGCACAGGTAAAAGTCAAGGGTACGCTTTCATCGAATTTGAACACTCAGAAGTTGCTAAAATTGCTGCAGAAACTATGGACAATTATCTTATGTTCAAAAAAAGACTAGAAGGTAATACAAAGGCATAAATATGGAAAGAAGTTGAAAGAGGTAATTTTTAGCAAAATTTGTTCCCGCTGACAAATTAAAAAATTTGAGAATGAGTTTTACACCATCTTGGACGGCGGAAAACTATCCTCTGAAGGAGAAACGTGAAAGATTAAACCAAGCAAAGAATGCAGACCCTGATCATGACACATATATCCGACATTGTCATAAGTGGATGAGTTCAGTTCGTAAAACCATGCTAAAGTTGAAAGAGTTAGGTATAGACTATGCATTTCAGCCGGTTGATGTACCGGTAGAATTAAAGAATGTATTTTAGGTAAATAAATGTTACTTTATATTTAATGCATAGATTTATAAATCTCCATAATCCATTAGTGTCATTACTAAAGCTCAAAGCAGTTTTTTTGTCACCCAAACTTGTATTAATTTCTTTTATACATATATGATTAATTTGCTATACATAACCTAGCATAACTTTATTCTTGATTCAAGTTAATATTATTCACTTCCAGCATAGACTAGAAATACCCAAGTCCATGCTTCAAGTACCTAACTTAATATTTCAATGAGATGAATTTGCACAAGAACTTAACATGTAACACTTACCTGTCAACTTTACACATTAAACTTGGTTTTCTGTTCACTGCTCTAAAGTTATGTAATAACTGATAACTGATAGACCAAGTCGATACATAACATACATTCTGTGCAAAGTAAAAATTGGTTAAATATAATGTCCCAAATCTGCTATGGTAGGTACTGTTAGAAATGTGAACAAAAGTTCACTTAAGTATGTTTTAATACTAAAAAAATAAAAGAGAAGCTCAAGTAATTTTTTTCAGAGAGACAAATTTTTCAGTTGAACAAAAGCAGGTATAATACAATTAAGGTAGATCCTAATTCTCAGGGCCGCTCCTACCTATAGGGCGATGCCTGAAAACTCACGCAGGCCACCGAAGCAAAGGGTGGCTAGAAGTTATAAGAGAACAAGCGCTCCTCAAAGGCTTTATTGTTATACAATTATACCTACATTATGTGATTATATCCAAGATACTTTGTATGTTAGTTTTCTTTATCAAAATTCGGTCGCAACAGGAGAACGGTCCTTTAGTAAATTGAAAATTATAAAAAATTATGTGCGATCGTCAATGACACAAGAACAGTTGACAAATCTTGCAATTATAGCAATAGAACAAAATTTAGTGAACAATATTGGTTTAAAGGAAGTGGTTCAAGTTAGTGTTAAAGCAAGGAAAGCGAAATTTTAGTTTTGCGTTTTTTTCGGTTTTTGCACATTATACTTAATA